ATTTATGCAATTCTTCGTAGTATACCGAATAAATTAGGAGGTGTTGCTGCAATAGGTCTTGTCTTTGTTTCACTATTTGCTTTACCTTTTATTAACACTTCATATGTACGAAGTTCAACTTTTAGACCCATTCATCAAAAACTTTTTTGGTTACTTGTGGCAGATTGTTTACTTTTAGGCTGGATTGGATGTCAACCTGTGGAAGCACCCTATGTAACTATTGGACAAATTGCATCAGTTTTTTTTTTCTTATACTTTGCAATTACGCCCTTTCTTGGCAAACTAGAATGCAAAACTCGTCAAAAATCATTGTGCATCGCTTTCCATTGTACTGGCCATTTTCAGTCTGACGTTAAGCCACTGGGATTGGAACAATGAATCTTGCCACCAGCTGGATCTGGACCACGAACCCTGCCACAAGCGGGATCTGGACTACGAACCCTGCCAACGGTGGGCCCCTGCCCCAACAAGTTGAAAAAGTGAAACGAAAAGCGGATTCAAGTATCCAGGCGGAACAAAAAAGAAGGTTCGATGTGATGTGGCAGTGGCGGCCTTACAGTCCCCTCGCCCACGTGTCAGGCGAAAACAAAATGACCAGTCACACTTGTACGTTTCTACAGCCAGATGCACTCCAGAAAGTCCAAGTTGAATATTTCCTAAAACGGAAACATTGCGCCTTACAGTACCTGTCCACGTGACAAGGAAAAAGCAGAAGGCCTACTCACACTCGTACTTTTTGTGGCCATATATACTCCTGGAACTGCAGGTATGACTACCGTCTTCCCCCGAACATAACGCACCCTTATTTTGGCGGTATCTGGCCGGAAATATAGCTTGTATGCATTCATTTTTAGGGTGCGTTATGTTCGGGGGAAGACGGTAGTATGCGCTACACTTTCCGCCAGGGTAGGCCTGCCTATACCTCAGTCTGCGCAAACCTTTCTAAAAGGAACATAATCAAAACATCTAGTAAGAGAATAAAATCAAAACATCTAAAAAAAAAAACATCTAAAACAATATAGAGTGTGGGTGCCCTCAGAGGCGGCTGGCCTCGCGCAAGCAAAGAGAGTAAGGCCCTAGTCACACTTGTGCTTTGTGGCCACACATATACATGTCAGTGGGAGGAAGGTGGAGAAGAGGTGGAGTAGAGTGGCTATGGAGGAAGTAGAACTTGCAGAAGCCCACGTTGGGCTATGGCGTCAAGTGGGAGACATTAGTCATGAGAGAGTAGGTAGAAGAAAGGAGCTGACAAGAAGATCTACCTTTGATCTTCATCTCCGCTTCACCCATTGGCGATGTAAGGCTCTGTTGGGGCACCGGCACCAGCACCAGCTAGACAATGACTACATCCATGAGTGAGGCATGGCAGTACCGGGTGGAGAGACGAGTAGTGCATATCAACTGCACACCCCATGTAAGCCTAGGTGATCGGCTATATCCTCGTAGCAGTACCAAGAGAAGGAGAGAGAATGGAAAGGTTAAAGGAGAGTTGTTTCTGCAGTGGGAGTGAGGGAGATCAATGGGACTTCTGACTCCTTGTTCATC